ATTGTATTTCCCCACGAACTGCCTTAGAGAAGGGTATAGTTTCTTAAAGAGAAAAGAAGCTATACTTACCTCTTGGATACCGCATATACCTACGAAAGGATTCCCTGTACTGTGTCGTCGTTATAAAGTAAATTGAGAAGGCTACTACTCTGTAACAATATATTTAGATATTTGTTTAGATATCTGCTTGAGATATTTGCTTAGATATCCATTTAAATATCTATTTAGATACCTATTTGGATATTTGTTTGGGTATTTAGATATCTGTTCAGATATTTGTTCAGATATCCATTTAGATATCTGTTTGAATATTTGTTTAGATATTATTTGAATATCTGTTTGGATATCTGTTCAGATATTCATTTGGATATTCATTATAAATATATCAGATAATTTAGTTAAATCTATTTGGATATGCGATATAATTAGATAGATATCTAGATATAATAACTCAAATAAATAGGTGGCAGATTTGTCTAGATTGAATCTCTAATATTAATATAATATCTATATTATAAATTAAATTACATCATTAGTTCAATTTCAAAAATTATTATAATAAATAAAATTTTTATTGAACACTTGCCCAATATACTTGATATATTTAATTTGAGCAAAAGTTTATAGAAAAGACTATTCTTGTCAACTAATAATACTTGACAAAAAATATAAAAAATGCTTTGGATATCAAATTAGCTTTTATAATAAATATATTATTAAAAAATTAGCTAATTGGACTAAAAATTCAACTAAAGTTAAGATTCAAAAAAATCAAAACTTGATTAATATTTGTTAAAAATATGTTAAAAATAATGATCAACAAAATCAAAGCAAATTAGTAGATCTAATAATTAAAGATTCTTTAGAATCTTTATTGTTTATGACAAATACTTAAGTTATCTAACTTGGCCACAACTAATTCAGAAATTACAGAATTAATAATAAAAAAGATTCTAAATTGAATGAAAAAACCTAAATCAAAAGCTATTAATATAAAAGAGATTTGTTTTTTTTATTGTTAAGATGACTTCTATATCGGTGATTTATTATTAAGAATGTATAGATATGTTACAATTACAATAAGAGCATCAAGTTACACATGCACTTTTGGTGCTTAATTAAGTAGTCCGCCCAAAGTGCTAATACTATATTAGGAGTTCTATACTATCTGTTGTACTTGCACTCCAACTACGAGAGTTGCCTATTTAAACCTCCAATTACAATCTTTATCATATTTATACCTCACCACTTAAATAATAGTGAATCTATATAACATCACTAGATTAATAGCTAACTTAAAACTAGTTTATTTACAAAGTAAACCTGATAATATATATCATGTTTTACTAAGTATAGCAGGTATTTGGTTTAATTGGTTAGAAAAATATAAACAAATAAAAAAATACATAATATAGATCATTATCCCTTAAACCGCCTAGTGTACAAATTTGTATGCTAAAATGATTTTTAATTGTTTTTGTATATTTACTCTAAATTTTATTAAGCCACACCCTCTATTTTCAAGCTAAAATAAAAGTATGTCATGTTTTAATTACTATATAATTCCTATTTCATAAAAATTTTTTATCAATACTCCAAAAATTAGTTATTTAGTATTAATTGTAATAGGATCTTCATGTCCAAATTTAATACTAAAAAAGACAATTTTATATAACATCTATAGAGATTTTTTATAATCGCTATGCAGAGATCCCCTTTATAATATAACTTTAAAGTTAATCAAAGATTTTTCATAATTAACTTTATATAATTGATTTTTGAGGTGATGTTAAAGAAATAAGATGGCTCAAAAGTATGGATAAAATGATCTATTTTTTAGCTATTGTATAAGTTTGTACCTTCCAATCAGGTTACATAGAATATTTCACACTGTAGCTATAGGTGTGTCATGTAACTCAGGTCTTAAAGAATCATCATGACTAATTAGAATAAATATTTTATAAAAAAAATAATTTTTCAAGCCTAATTTTTTTCAAAATATTTTAGTATACAAATTTGTATACTAAACCTAATGGTTTAAGGAATATAACTCTAAATATAGCTACTTAATTAGAGTTTTCATCTGAGTTTCATAGATAGATTTTCATTTGATTGATTAATTTTTGTAGATTTACCTGTGAATTCCCATGATAATTAGCCAATCAAAATGGATAGAAATAGATAGATAATGCATAAATTGATATTTATTATTATTAAAAATTCATTATATGAAATAAATTATTGTGACAGATTAAAATAAAATCAGATTAAAATAAAATTTTAATATTTTTTAGAGACGATTTAAAAAATTTTGGGAGATATTTTTTAGGGTTAGGGTTAGGGTTAGGGTTTAGTGTTAGGTTTATTAAAAAAAAAGTATAAGTGGGTTTTATAAGCTTTAAAGGGAAGCGAGGGAGGTTTCTTGTTTCATTTTAATCTAATTTCATTTTAATCTGTGACAATTATTAATGAAGCTATCTTTTATTCTTTATTTATTACACATTTTGAAAAGTAATTAAATAATTTTACCTTATTTTTAGTTATCATGATCTTTATTAAAGATGTGACATAACCCTTATCCTATATCATTAATGAAACAATAACACTTATTATACATATATCGATCTATACTACTTAACCAAAAGTTATATTTACTACTCTAGTATAGCTCTATAAGTGTAAAATATATAGTAAAATTAGTACAAGTCTATTATTATTATTATTACAGTATACTCAAAGTTCTAAGTTTAAAGCTTATATATAACGTCTTGATATTTTTTTATTGAATATTTTTGGTATTTAAAACTTGTATATAATTAATATAACTAGTACTAGCAGTATATAGTAAAAAATATTCACTTCTAAGTGAAGTTCTTGAAGAGGTAGATTAATTTTAACAGTGAATATCTACGTTCTTTAGAGCTAGAATTTGCTTTTATAGCAATTTTTTTGTTAGTGAAACATTATGTTCCTGACATTAGCCAATCAAATGAAAATCTGCCTATGAGTGACTTCATCATCTTAGTGCCACCCTTGTTGGTCATTGAAAATTAAGTTTAGTCATGTTCGCTATCTTAATTAGAATTAGAACTGGACATAACATGGTATAAACTAGTATGGTAGTTAGATTTGAATGTTAGAATTAGACATAGTATGATAGTTAGAACTAGACATACACAGTAGTTAGATCCAGAGCATTAGAACTAAATATAGCACGGTAGTTAGAACTAAATATTGCACATTTGTTAGAACTAGATGTAGCATGGTAATTAGAACTAGATATAGCACAGTAGATGTAGTATAGTATTAGAAGTTAGAACTAGACATAGTATAGTTAATAGCATAGTAGTTAAAGTTAGACATAGAACAGTAGTTAGAACTAGACATAGACTACACACGATAAAGCATTACATTTACGTTAAATATGAACTAGAGGATTTTTTGATAGCATGATATAAAGTACAGAAATATAATAAAAAATAATACCAAGATATTTGGCAACAGGATTCCAAGTGACATTCTTTACAATGCGCAATATTGAGATAAACACCTACTTCCTAAAAATGTTAAACCTATATGATTTAATATATCACATTATAGAATATATATTCTCACTTTAATTAATATAAATCAATTTGATTAATTTATCTATTTTATTCCCATATTAGAATATTGTGGCCGCTCGAAGCTGAGAAAAAAATTTCGGGCAGCTTTATATAACTATCTAAAGAAAATTTTACATTTGAAAATTCTTTATTGACAATACATAAGTTAATAAGAAAATCGATACATATTCAATACATAAATAAATAATCAGCATTTTTTTTTTTTTTATTATCATTTGGTTTTTTACTAATATGAATTGAAACAATTGCCCATTTCAGAGCACCGTACTGTATACTGTAAATAAGCAGCTAACTAATAAAAAATTATTTAAGGAAATAAAAATATTCAACTAATCTTTTGTTTAATTATATCCACATTTATTTACTGTATATTGAATAAAGAATCTTCAAAAATGGGTTTTCATATATTTAGTATAGTATTAAATTGAAAATAAATTTTGAGTATGATGAATTTATAGAAAGTTGACTAATGTGCTATCAACTACAAACACTACTAGAATCCTCTCTTAAATATTATAAAGACTTGAATAGTGATACAGGCCCAATGGCCGGGCCGATGGGCGTGCTGACCCTCAGCTTGCATCTTTGTGGGCCGGGCCGTTCAATAAAAGAAGTGCTAGAATCGATTCTCTTATACTGTGTTGGTCGATAACCTAAGTCATAACTTTTTTTCTATATGACCTTGGTCATATAATCATATAGCTTTTTGGTCATAGTCATATTGGTCATATTAAATGCTAATAAAAAAAAACTTTTACTATCGCTATGATTCTTACTATATTAAAAAAGGTCATAAGTCATATCAATCCTCGTTATGGCCGAATGACCTATGACAGGTCATAAAAGTCATATAGGTCATTTAAAATTATAGGCCAACACTGATATAGCAGATACCTTATTATAATGGAGTAATTTTCTAAAACAATTTAAATTATTATTATTTTAACGGATATTCATTTATTATGGATATAATGGACAAAATCTTTCAGCCCGAAGGGTCTGTTATAACGAGGGTAGAGTGTATTATATAAATTATAAAAGCAATGAATTAACTTACTTTCTTTAAAAATTATCACAATTATAATAATCACAAGCACTTTGTACGCAAAACTAAAAAAAAAAAAATCAATAAACAATGGATTTCAAAGTCAAATTTATCACCCTATTCGTTTCCTTACTATGGCTCTTTACGACTTCGACCTATGCTGCCCTTAATTGAAACACTTGCAATGGTTCTAATCAAGCACCTGGTAATGGAATTCAAAATCCCAACGGTGATTGTGTTAGCACAATTATGGGTCAGCTTCCATCAAAAAAGCAAATGATTTCCACCGTTATCACACAGCCGGAAAACGGCGTGACTATTCAAATAAATACAGCATTTACAGTTGTAAAATCAATCAATCTCAATGCTGGCTTTTTCTTAAATCCAACCACACACTATTATGTAAATCCACAAACACTTGGTGCTAATGGTAATATTAACGAACATAGTCACGTTACCACCCAACAACTCGACGGTAGTACTCCTCCTGATGTGCAAGTATTTGCATTTTTCGAGGGATTGAACAATGCCACTATGCCCAAGGGGAATTAACTGCTAATGTTGCAAATGGTGTACTAACTGCTGGCACATATAGAATTTGCACTATGACAGCTTCGGACAGTAATCAGCCTGTTCTTATGCCTATTGCTCAACGTGGTGCTCAAGATGATTGTATCAGGATTAATGTTGTTGCAGGTAATAATAAAAATCCTAACGGAAATGGAAATGCTGGAAATGCTAATAATGGAAACACAAATAATGGAAATACTAATAATAAAAATGCAAATAATGGAAACGCTAATAATGGAGGTAATACTGGAAAGGGTGGAAATCAAGCTCAGGGTGCTGGTGCTAATGGAGGAACTCAAGCTCAGGGTGCTGGTGCTAATGGAGGAAATATAGCTCAGGGTGCTGGTGCTAATGGAGGAAATAAAGCTCAGGGTCTGGTGCTAATGGAGGAACTCAATAGGTTGCTGAACATAGAGCCGAATCCTCCTTTGCTAATTTCTTTAACATCAGATAATCTATTGAACGGAATCTAACCAATTACATCTCATATTCAAAAGTTCTAATCAATATCCCCATCCCTATTCATCTACAGTATCCTGGTAAGACCCCTAATAATCTATATAAGGTCATATTTGAAAAATTGCTAATATGGGCCCTTTTTTAAAAAAAGGTTATATTTGAAAAGTAGATATTGGGTAAAAAGATTATATTTGAAAACAGATAATCACTAAATAGAATATATTTAAAATTAATGAGTATTTATTATTTTTGGTAAGCATATGTTTTTTTTTTAGAGACCACGCTTTTGTTTTTTTTTTTATAGAGAACACACTTTTTTTTTTTTTTTTAGAGAACACACTTCTGTTTTTTTTTTTTTTTTTTTTTTTTAGAGAACACACTTCTGTTTTTTTATTTGAAAACATACTTATATTTTAAAAAAAGGTAATGAAGACTAAAATTCTTATCTAATATTTGAAATATAGATTATATATATCAATACAAAAGTGCTAACAAAAAAAAAATTTACTATGATGCCAAAATATAAGCTCATATAGATTATTCGGGGGCCTATCCTGGTAGTGTTATTTACTTTACATAGCATTCTAAAGTTTAGGATCGAATTGATACTAAAATTAACGTGTTTTTTTTTCCTACCTAAATTTTCTTTTTTTTTTCATAAGAGTTTAAATCTACATATTAAATTCCTTATAATTTAATTTCGATATAAATTTCGATTGGCTGTTTGAACTTATTATCGGTAAACACTAACATATCCGGATATTGTGAAACAAATATGCATTAGGACAATGTTATTGATTATGCATTGATTGGTCAATAGTATATAAATTCAGTGAAAAATCGTTCTAGTGGCACCTTTCACTGGAACTCTGGAAAAATATGGACACTGCCGCAGAAGATACAGAAAGACTAACCAGTTCAACTTCAGAACCTACATCTATTCCTCAAAACTCTTCATATCCATCGTTTTTACCAAATGAATCAGCTGCAAACATTCAAAGCTCCAGACAAAAACTAGGATTGATAACAGATGTATACACAACGGATCGAAATAATTATATGCTGCCAAGTTCACCAGACACGCCATCACAAGAAAATGATACATTTCCATCAGAATCAACTTATTCTTTTTATGATTATTCACGTAGACGCTATGGTAGAGGGCATTCACACAGTCTCTCCATCGACTCAACGATGTCCATAGATCACCATCCAGTAGTATATTCATTTTCACATGCTTCACTTGCTACCACCCATGAAATAAATGAAGATTCAACTCCAGAGTTAACTCCAAATTTAGTGACTTCAATAGATACTTTCAACCAAAGATCACCGTCATTAAAAACACCATTTTTCCAAGAGTATCCATTATCCCCAACTTTTGATAATACATCAGTGAGTTCATCAGGAAAATCATCATCGTCGATAGAAAACCCACCTCGTAAACTTTTGTTGCAATCATCTATGCTACAAATTATTAATATCAGCAGTCTGAAAGAACGTTATTTGTTTCTTTTCAATGATTTATTAATCATTGCTAAACTTATCAATACTAACCCACAAAAAAGCAATATACCCCCTACAGAGAAACGGTATCAAGTTAAACATATCGTTGAAATGCATCAAATTACTCATATTACTCTTCCTCCGCTAGAAGATCGAGATGCATCTCTGATAAATAAAGCACCAAAAAGAGAACCTTCTGTTATGGCAACATTCTCTCGAAAATTTTCCACAAATCCTCATGGTGCAATAGCTGATATGGTAGAGAAACGTCATGTAAAAAATGATTCAAATCATATCGCAGCACTTCTTTTTAAAAGGTCCGAATTAAGCAAACGTAAATTAGGCCTATACCTTTCTGATCGAAAAAACAAAGAAATTATGATCGCATTTTTAGACAAATTTCGATTTGAGGGTCTCTATATAGATGAGGCTTTACGCGTATTTTTGATGAGTGTATGTCTACCACCTGAACGAGAAGACTTTGATTATTTAATAAAGTCATTCGCAAATCGTTGGTATAATGCGAATGTCAACGTTGTCAAGTCCAATGAAGATATGTCAATAAAGTTGGCCTTTGCTATATTAGAACTCAATAGTAGATTGCACGGGCAACATAACATCACGGATAATAAAAATGTTAGGAATGTTAACAGGGCTGGTACCTTTACACTCCAAGACTTTGTGAATCAATTTCGTAGGGAAAGTTATCAGTTTCACCTAGTTCCCGATGAAGTATTAGAAAAAGTATATTATTCGATTCATAAAGAAAAATTAGAGTTTGCATGGGACGACACACTTGAAGATATTTCACCACAGATACCAATAAAAGTTCATCCAGTAAGATGGCCAACTCGCCTTACCCTTCTTACTCCTTCAGATCCTATCACCATCACAATTCCTCAACCTGATCCTCAATTTGCTATAAAACTTCACGGACAGGATTTGACTTTCGATCCACCTTTTCTTGATTTCACACATACAAATTCATGTACTTTTACCATAACAGGAGAGACATTAGGACTACATTCCATGGTACTTATTAAATCTGGGGCACGTTGTCGTAATTATATAAATTTGCCATCCACTAAAACAATGTTGGTCGAACGAGCATTTATGAAATGGACATTTAAAATTTCATTTGCCGCTGACAATGGAATAATACGACATTATCTTTTCAGTGCCGATTCACAAGAACATAGACGCGGTTGGGTTGAAACCATAAAAGCTTTAGTAGAAAAATTACTGTCAGATAGTCTTAGTAGTCCTAAGTTTTTAGTTATAGACGATGACGATAAAGAAAAAGAGGAGGAAGAGGAAGATACGCGATTTACAAGGTCACCAGTATCTCAAGTGGATCCAACAAAAGCAGCCGAAGCAGTAGCTTTACGAGTATTGAAAGATGCATTAATTCCCAGTGAAAATGCTATTAGGGAATTTACAAATACTATTAAAGATAGATCAAGTCCAGTAAATAATGCACTGGAAAACATTTCTAACAGCAGCAATCCGGCAGTAAGAAATAGTGTAAGAAACAGCGTAAGAAACAGCGTAAGAAACAGTATGTGGAATAATTTGAATCTTGTAAACCAAAATACACCAGTTAATCCATTTGCATCTTATGCAAAAACAGGAGATGAGATTATTCATATGACTATTCAGAACAGTCTCTTACCATTTCTTCTTGGATTTTTTACCAAGCAATTAGAAACTGATACAAAAAATTCAAATTCATCTAATAACGCCAACACGAACAATATAAATAATGATAGAGAGGAACTTTCATAATTGATTGAATCACAACAAAGATATTTATAGCGAGTTAATGATAAACGTATTTTTAATACGTTTAAAATTTATAATATTAATCATAATCTTATCACCAATTTGAAAACACTGAATAAAAAAGCATGTTTGCATGCATAACAATAATGAATTAAAAGTCAATATTCTTTTTTTTTATTTTTTATTTTGGTAATAACTCATTAATAAAATTATATAAATTATAAAAAATTCTATTCTACGATGATTTATGCAATAACCCTAACTCCACTCCATACACGTAGATGATAACGTGCAATAGATATTTTTATTTTAATATTAAAAACTCCCCTTGACTAATATATAATTAAAAGAAAAAAAAAAGAAGTTTTATATACAATCAATATTATAAAATTAGATAATTCTGTATAAAATAAAGATGCGAAAAAAAAAAGTTTTTTTTTACATTGATCACTTGATTTTCAATTTTCTATCGATTAAATAACCAATTTATAAAGCTAAAAAAAAATTTTTAACGCATCTCATATACGTAACTTTTACACCACCACCCCACCATCTAACCCAACCTATTTGTTGATGTTTCAACAACACTATTTGGAGAAAAATCTAAAGAATTTGAAAATATATGGTCATTCATATTAGAAGGTTGTAATCCCATCATATAATTTTCCAAATCGTTAAGATTATTAAAATCCACAGGTAAAAATGGAATATTTTCGTTATCATTATACAGAAGTGATGAAACTTCTGGAATGAAGGAATCAATATTTTGAAGAAATAATTCATTATCTACGTTCATTGAGAAATCATTAAATGTAAAACTTGAAGCTGAATTTTCAGAACCAGGAGAGGAAGTTTGTTCATAACTAGTTGGTTGAGCTTCATCAATAGTTGAAGAAACGCGATTAACAACATGTTGTCTCATCGCAGCACTATATTCTTGAATTGAAGTAGGTGTTGCGTTTATTTGACTTGGAACCGATGGTGGTGTTGAAGGAGTATGAGGTGAAGTTAAATTGGTGTGTGGAATTTCATTGAGTATTGAAGGTTTAAAAAAATGTTCGGCTTCAGAACAGGCCATTGTAGGTTGATATGCAGAACGTCTTTTTTTAGATGTATGTTTTCCATTAGATACATTATCATCATAAGCACCATCAAGATTAATATTTCTAGATTTAAGCAAACGGCTCATTAAGTTAGAACACTTATCAGCGGCATACCAATAAGGTTTCAAATAATCTAAGCATTTTAGCACCATCCTAAGACCATGTTTAGCAACTTCTTTGAATCGATCATCACCACTAAGAGCATTTATTAAATGCATAGTAGCAGCGGTAAAGAAAAAATAAATCAAGGTTGGCCATGAACGTTGTAACATCCCTTCTTTCATTAAACGATACATGATATGAGAGATGTGATTCGCAGCCTTGGTACATATGGTCAATGATGGAATGGATGAAGGAGTTTTAGATTTTGGACTACGAATATGAGGACGATGTAAAAGAATTTGAGTTGTATAATAGACTAGATGAACGAATAATTTCTTTTTGTTAATTGGATCACTAAGCACGATAGAAAGATTTGAATAGTCGAATTGAAGTTCTTTTGGTAGTTTTTCTCTCCATTCAGTTAATTCTCCATCCAACGCAGATAACAAACAAGGACCATTACTAACGTTCGCACTATGTCGAGTCTTGATACTATAAACATGAGAAAGCACACGTCCAAGTATTAAACCAATCTTAATCGTCTCAGTCCATGCTTCGAAAGGGGGATCACCGGGTATCAATCCGTAAATAGGTAAATCGACGTCGCAATCACTCTCACTAATAGCGAGAGGCTGTGATATAATAATTTTTTTTTTATAAAGCAGTATTAGCATATGTCAATCCATTTTTAATGCTATTGGACTGGACTGGACTAGAAATTGGACATAGACATACGTTTGATCTAAGATATCCTATTATTAACTTTAAAGAATTCTAATTTTTTTAAAACTTTGAAGATATTTTGAGAACCGTCTAATCAAAGTCGATGAAAATTTTTTTAATTGAATTCTACAAATATGTAGAACTCAATTAAAATTTTTTTATCAAATTTGGTCGAATGGTTGTTATATTCATTAAAACTTTTACTGGTATACCGCGTATACTCATTTTACCCGAATTACCTTAGCACGTTCGATGTTTGATTACATACATATGTACTTATTGTTTGAAACAATAAGTAAATCAAGCATCGATTTTTAATCGACGTGCTAAGGCAATCCAATATATGAGTATACGCAGTATACTGTACAGTATACTCGAAAAAATTTTTTTTTACTCATTTTCAACCATTTCGAAAACCGCAATAATAGACATCCTAAATTTTTTTTTTTTTTTTGAAGACCCCTCTAAAGTCATTTAAAAATAATAAAAATAAGAAAATAGAATTTTAGAAGGTCGTAATGACCTAAACAACTACTAAACCAAATTCAATGAAATTTTTGTTTGAATTTGCAGATATAAAGAATTCAAATAAAATTTTCATTGAATTAATCAAAGTTATATTCTATGCGACTTTAGTTAATATGTAGCCAGCATACATTAGTATATTACATGATTCTATGCTAAATAACATCTAGTTCAATGCACTAATCTAATAATTTAACGATCAAGGTTGAAATAAAGTCAGAGAAATATCAGGTTCTGATTTTTGATATCGGGAGCCGATAGAGCTAGCAGGTATCTGATAGCATACTGATAGCTTTATCAGCTCCTGATATGTCTTTGTTGTCACGATTGACGGCAAAAATCAGAACCTTAAATTTCAATAATATTTATCTGATATACTTTATTTCAACCTGTGAAAGGTAGTCCAATGTCCCAATCCAATGCAGCAATCAAGTATAGAAAAGTAAAAGTTTTTACATACCCGACCTAACGCAGCGCTTACTAATCTATCGGACAAAACACAGGCCCACCATACACGCTTTCTAATTTCAATTTGTCTTGCGTCAAGGCCATGAAGATTCCATTTTGATACATCACGATGTAATCCCATATCTTGAGCGAGACGAATAGCTAAACCATGATACAACCATGTATTAGAATTTTTTTCACCTTGTTGATGCCCAGCTAATAGTATAAGTGCTTGAATATTTGGTATAGTTGCATTATCGAATTCATCTTTAAGCAAATCTCTTACAAGTTCAGCGAAAGTATCACCTTTCATATAATAAATATTTAATAAGAAACATTATTATATATTGATAATATTTTACAAATTGATATACTATATAACTATATTAAACATACCAGCAGAAGATGGATCTTTAGGATCTTTATAGACTTCAGGAATGTGAAGAAATCTAGAAGCAACAGCAAACATGGCAAAAAGGAGTACATTCAAAGAAGGATTTTCATCCAACTTATTATATTTTTCCATGAAATCTTCTTTATCAATGAAAGGCATGAAAGAATGAATCTCTCTCCAATAAGTATCTAATAATTTATCACACAATTCTTTTGAAGCATATGATGACACATCTATATTTTGCTTAGGTCTTTTTGATAAGTAATTACTCAAATCTTGTCGGACAAGACCTTCCTGCTGAAGGATACTTGTAGCGAATTTTTTTATCAAGAATATACCAGAACTGTGTCCAATATATTTTGTATGGCCACTGTCATCGATTGCAAGTGAACCCATACTATTATTTAAATCATAATTGTTGCTTTCACCTGATAAACTCTCATCGGAATCACTATCATGACCATTAGGAGAATTACGAGATTTCGTAAGGCATAAATCACTATTTGGAGAATCAGCGGTATTATCTCTAAAGCTACTTTCATTAATATTAATCCATTCGAGATTTGAATTAATTACACTTTCAGGTAAATTGCCGGATTGTACCAAGTTTCCAAGAACGGATTCCATTCTTTGAAGCCTTGTTTCTAATGCTTCAATATAACCTTTTGGAGGACCTCGCTTTTTAGGAGCATCAATGTAAGAGCTATCGAAAGCATAAAAAAAAAAAAAAAAGTATTTTAACACATTTTAGCATATTTTAGCAAAAATCAAATAATGAAGAAAAGAATAAAATATAACTAATAAATATACTGTTGAACCTCCCAAAACCGATCCTGTCAAAATCGATAACCTGTCTACCAAGTCCGTTTCTGTTATATAAGTATAGTAATTTATAATGTTTTTCAAAACTGATAACCTTCCAATATTGATATAAAACCTATCCACCATGCATATTTTTTTTGAGAGGTTCAAAAGTAACTCGAACTAGGAAAGATACACAAAGAAAGAAATTTAGTATAAAGTTTACCATTCTTGTTTATAAACTTTGCAGTTAGTACAAGAAGGAGGATCGGAACCAGGTTGAACACCATCACATCGAACTTTTTTCCTTCTGCAAGCATCACAAGCTCTAGCCACTCTACGTCGTTTACTTGACTCTTCTTCGCCTGACATGATTATAAAATTGGCCTATTTTTCAAATATAATTATCTACTGTATTTATTTTAATATCTTAATTTAAAAAAAAAAAAAAAAAAAAAATGCAAATATTAAAAAAAATTTAATAAAAATTTTTAAGGGTTTTTTCTAAAATTTGTAAAATGAAAATCCGAAAACTTTTTTTTATTAAACGCTATATATTTAATAGGTTTTAATTATAGTTTCAAGCTTTTATTTCAACATTTATAAAGAAAAAAAAAAAAATTATTGGAAAATTAATTACTTTGATCAACATACGAAAGACAAACTAAATGTCAAGTCAGTGTGTGACCAAATTTAATTATAAAACTAATAGTACTACAATAAATTAGACTTATTTTTTTCCCAATTATTCTTCTTGTTATAAAGTAAAGATGGGTGACTCATAACTGATAAAATTTAAAAGGCCCAAACGTAAAATAAATTCATACAATTTATACTTACAAAATTACAAAATGTTACAAAGTTTGTAAACAAACAGAGTACGCCCGTGATCAATTTTTCTGCATATGTACATACACCAGTACATATTTATACATACCTTCGTCTGCAATCGAGATTCACGCAGCACACTAGTCGTGGGGCTTTTTTTTTAACTCCGATATTAGTAATACATCTGTAGGGAAGTTTAATTGGCTTTCGGACTCTATTCACTAAAATCGGTTTTTATTATAATGATTCGGACTCCGTTCATTAAAATCGGTTTTTATTATAGTAAATATATATCAGATATATAAAACCTTTAGGTATAAATTATATTATAAACGAATAAAAATGATGCATATAAATTTGGGAAAGATTTTTTTGTATTAAATAAAACAAAGACACAAACTTCGGTCTGTAGAAAATCGATATAAAAATGAATGCCTTTTTTTGGATTTAGCTTTGCTTGGTATATCACATGAAAATTTTATTCGTTTAAGGCGCAGCTAATATACATAACGATAAAGGAAATAAATATCTTATACGTAAAAGTATTAAGTAAAGTAGTACTTATGGTAGATAGTCCTCATATATGTAAATACGCGTATCCATTATTTTTTACTTTTACGTACGTACGTATGTGCTGAGTACGAATAACAGTATTTTTGATTACGAAGTTGCCAAAAATTAGATCCGAAACAGATCCACAAGTGAAAGTGAATTGTTTATTGTAAAACCCTGATATAAGAATAAAATATATATATCGATATAGTTTGAATTAATGTTTAATTGTCTGCGTTGTGGAATTTTAAACGATCTCCTGCGGATCCAATTCGGATCAAAACTCGGATCCATTCTTGCGGAACACTAATAAATTATGTAGATAATCTTTACATAAGCTTATGTCATAAATGTGCATGGAATGAATACTGGAATACCTGAATACCTGTAGATCATAATCATTTAAGCTATTTTTAGTATCAAAAATAGCACTGGCGATAGATATCACGAAACAACCAAACTAAATTTTTCTTTATTTTATTCTATAAACATATAAAATTAAATTAAACCAATTCCGATCGACTTAATTAATGGGTGGCAGACATTCGTTTAATTGGATGATGTAAATCAATTAGAGTACTTTTTGAGAACATAACGTTTCACTAAAAAACGGACATTAAAATTCACTGTAAAAGAATCAAAAGAATCTCACACTTATTTCGCTTATAAGACACGTTATTACAATACTAGTTATATTAAAAGCTTTAAATAAATGCTAAAAATGGTCAATAAAAAAGGAAATTGAAACGTTATGCACAAGAATTAAACTTGAACTTTATGTATATGTTGTGTCCCAAATTTTCCAATAGTCAATCTGGCTGAAAAATAAATTAATTTGCCCCGGATGTTAGAGTTATATTTGGGCTGCCAATTGATAACTGAGACTAATGGAAAATGACAATTTTTTCAACCCAAATTTTTTTTACATAAATTAATTTAGAATAAGATTAGGATCTTTTTTCACTTAAGACACAAAAGTGGCTGTGTTAATAAAATTTTGCAGTATAGCTCTTTAAAGTTTGTATTTTCTTATAATCTATTATAAGATTTATAACACAAAAATTTGATTTTCTGAAGATCTTTTGTTTTGTCAATTTCGTTCCTTTTTCCAGCACCTAGCCAAAATTGTTAACACTATTTGACTTATTATCTCGCGTATTATAGGGTTAAGATAATACATTGTATATATACTAATGAGTAATATTTTCATCAATTATACAGAATATAAGCATCTCTACGTAGTAAAGATTGTAATGATTGAAAAAATTACTATTTATATAAAATATAATAAATGTAGAGTAAATTTTACTAATAATAATATGCATACGTATTGAATATCATGTAACTCTAATCAATAGTTCGTGAGATAATTAATTAATTAAAATTTTTTTTTTCGTCCCTTTCTCAGTACAAAGCAGGCACAAAATTTCGGCATGTCGTAACCTACTTTTTTTTTCGGTAAATGAAATTTAGAAACTCTTGTGAAAATAATACGTACGTACAGTATTATACAATTTCAGACCGCTTTAAAACTATATACAATCATATGAATGTCTTCCTATAGGTTGTAAATACTGTATTTTGGAAATTAAAATTTAATTAGCTGATCAAACGCGTGCTTATCATTATCACTAAAATAAAATAAGGTACTTATTACGTTAAAAAATAAAACGTGTAACAAACTTTTGCCCAAATCATCATCTTTTTTTTATTGCAGTGGCTTATCAAGCATTTCATACTTTTTTGTCATAGATAATCTACACTAACGTAGGATACGGTTCGGATTCATAGGAAAATCGTTAGAGCTATTGAAATTTTATCTTATAACTCTAGATATTCTACTGAGCTATCGGTATGCCGATATGAATCCGAATTATATTCTAAGGAGCATCTTACTTGCGCTAAATATCTGTTTCAAATCAGGTTCATATCTGCCTTATTTTGACCTGTGCATTATTACCTAACAAATTGTATATGAAATTTGATAAATTACATAAATAAACAAAAATTTTCGATGTTCTCAAGCGCCTAAATTAGTAGGTTGGAGCTCGATTTTAAATTAATGTCAATGGAAATTAGTTTAGCCAGTCAAAGTGAGTTCGTTCATCGCAATAATAATAAGTTATCAGGCAGGCACTGCCTGATAACTGGTTTATTTGGTCGAGGATTTTAAGATCAGACTAAG